ATTAATGCCCGCCTGTGCTGTGAGGACACACACTCTTTACTACCAGATTCAGCATTGGCCAATTTAAGAAATATTTTTAAAATATTTTCACTTTAATATTTTTAAAGTGTATATATACTTTGGTAATGTCATGCAGCTAATCTAAATTTGTAGTAAGTCGGCATTTAATTCATTGCCATTTTTTCTATAATTAGACAATTTATGGTTCTACAAAAGAATAAAGTATGTTAGATGCATTGGTTCTCAGGACACAAGATTTTATACTGATGCAGGTTTGTGGGATCATAGGAGGAAAGGAACCAGACTCACGTGAAGTGGAGAGATTTTACCAAACAGGTGTTGGCAGGGTCAGAGCGCATTAGCAGATGCTAAGAACCCACAGACTGACAGACCTCCTGGCCTTGGGCAGAAGACGGAAGGAAGTGTGCTCCCAGAACACACTGGTACCCACTGGATGATCTACCAAGAATGCAGGCTGATTCCCCAGTTTCTTTCCCACCCACTTCTGATCTCTGGGGTATCTTTCGTGAGCCAGAACCAACTGAAAGTTATAAGAGGTCAGCTGTCCCGGCAAGAGCAGGACAAGGCAGGGTGGCCTAGTGGAGGGGAACACACAGAGGGAGCTCAATCACTTATGCATCTGTCACTGAGGTCTGACACGGGAGAACCAAGCAGGTGCCTCTGACTTAATCTGCAATAAGTCTGCTAGGAAAAGCATTTGGAAATGCTCCCTTTTCAAAGGAATGTTTTAAAAAATAAGTATCTTCATGTTTCTGCATTCTCCATCCTTAAAGATCTACTCAGTTTCTTCAGGTTCAATGATCTCTTTCTCAAAGGCTCATCTGAGCTCTCTGAGTCATGGGGAGTCTTCATATAACTGTAAATGAACATACAGTGCAGGAGTTTACCAAAGGCCCTACTAAAACTGGAGAGAACTCTAACAAAATGGCAATCCAGCCAGCCACAATGACAATACCCAACAGCTCTCTCACACATTAAATTTGAAGCATACACTTGGATCATTTGTTGATGTTCTCTCGTTTATAAACTTCATGTGTGCAGTGCGTGTGTATAGGCTTTATCTACCTTCTGATTGCAGGATAAAGGTAAACACATACAAGGAAGGGTCAAAGCCACCATTTTCAAGAAGCCTGCTTAGCACAGCTGGAGGCGAGAGTGAGAAATAGTGTGCACTGCTGGCTGCTGGGCAATACAGAGGCCCGATTTCGTACACCGCTGGCACGCCATGAATGTCTGCTGAATTGGCTAAACCTTCGTTTGTCTCCATAATCAACTACCAAAAACAGCACATAGATACTTCTTGGGGGAAAAAATCCAACTAGTGTTTGAGGAGAGTCATACATATATACATACATACATACGCATGCAAGTGCACACAGACAAATATATGTTCTTTTGAGAGTAGATATGCAGGATCGTATCATGTTTTTTTTTCCTCTGACCTTAGAGGAAATCTCATCTATTTGGAGAAAATCTTCACAAGAAACTCCTACCTGCAAATGCCCCAGCATACTTAAAGCATCATTCTGAAAACTGTGTTGTATCTTTTAATTTGGAAAACAGCCTTTCTTTCTGAACATGGTAAGAAAATGCAGAACGTGGTATAAGAGCCAAGAGCAACTTATATGCATTTTTAATAAAAAAACTAAAAAGCAAAATGTTATAAACCTGGTCTTCACCAAACAAAAGACTTAGTTTATTAAAAGTGTCTAATTACAAAAAAAGAAATTTTTGAAGCATAACCTTTAGGACTAAGTTACATCTAACTTGAGTCTGAACAGGCAACAGGAAGACAAGCTTTGGTGAAAGCTGAAAGACTATTCCATACTTGGAATAACTTAGGATCAGGCCCACAGTGTGCAGGATATCTGTCTCTCAAACCCTGACCTGAAATGGCCTTGGATACCCTCAATGTAACACTCCTCAGAATAAAGGATTCTTCCCTTTTACCTTAAGAAGAAATGAATCAAACCCCAGGGATCAGCACTGACTGGTCTCTGAACCAAGACCACAGAGATGAAATCCTGTTTGGAGTGGAGACTCCATTTTGATGTAACAAAAGCAATGAGTCCTGTGAGAAAACAGGGCCTTTCCTGGATCTGCCCTCTCACTCCCAGGCTGTTCTCCCTGGGGTAGAGTCAGGGGGGCAGGAGCACTATGCCTGTGGAGGTCGGTGTTGCACTTCCTTCTCCAAGCAGACGGGAATTCAGAACACAGCAAGAGGAAACTGCCTCTGAGCTCACCAAAACGCAAGGCCATGCTTACAGTGGGAGGAAAGGATAACAGGAAGTTCGAATTCACTGTGGATAATCTGTAGTTCACTAACTCTTTCTACGATGCTAATTTACAAGCCTCATTTAAGCAGTTTTTTTTTAACACCTTACACCAGAAGGCCCAAATAAGTTAAACCCTATGGGCTGCACAATTCAGCAACAACCAATTCCTTTTATTGCTCCAACTCAATTTTTCATTTGTTTGCGTCATTTGATGAATGTTAAGAAATTTTAGAAATCTATCTTCTGGAAACCTAAAAAATGAAAAGATAAAAACTAATTCCAACAGAGTTTTAAAAAAAAGAATGTTACAATCAACTACTGATATTTACTTGGATCTATCATATGAGGTACATTTTGACTTTAAGGCTAAACCTCAAAACGCACCATGAATAACTAAATTGTTTTGTGTAATGATGGTTCTGAGATTTTAGATGCAAGTATAGACAAAGTGGGGCTGTTTCTTACTAGGACTAAGAAAAAAGCACCCTGTAAAGATTTATATCATATAAGATATGTATGAATATGTAGCCAAAGCTTGAAAGGGAAGCCTAGTATCTGAGTCATTGATCCAATAGTGACAATGGCAAGAGAACCCTAGGCATTTGGCACTGACCAAGTCAAATTTTAGCCAGTTTGAACCGGTGCTGTCACCTGTCCCCAGAATGGCAGTTTTCAACCTGTGGACCGAGACCCCCTCGGGAGGCCAACAACACTTTCACAGGTGGATACCAGATAGCCACATTATGATTCCTAACACCAGCAAAATTACAGTTATAAAGCAGCAATGAAATAATTTTATGGTTGGAGGTCACCACAGCACAAGGAACTGTGTTAAAGGGCAGCAGCACTAGGAAGATTGAGAACCAATGCTCCCGCAGAATCCCGATTCTAAAAGTATGAGAAGCCCAAAATAGTGATTAAGTGTGACATTTCTCGTGACTCTTCCTTCTCAATTACATGGTATCCTTTAGTCACCACGACTCAGGACAACATATCCTTCACAAACGGTACATTAACATTCGTGGTTTTAACACAGTACACAGAAAAGGGACGAGGGAGCTAGGGTATGATGGATCTGAAACCTTACATGGAGACGTGGAGGTCACAGGCCTTCACAGATACTCATCAAAAGAAGGCACAAAGAGGGCGAGGCAGGGAGTGAGTCACGGATTTGGGAATGGTACACCACCTGGCTCTTACAAGTGACCCAGGCTAGAGGTCATGAACCCAAATGCAGCCTTATGAGAATGCCTCAAACTGGACACGGGATGGAAACAGCTACATGTGGGAGGTTCTTGCACTGTTCGCTGGGTCAGGAAAAGAAGAGTTGAGATTTGAAGGCAGGTGGGCCAGCTAATCGTGTCTGCATTACGTACATTCTAGGAAAGCCTGCAGCCTCGAGAAGCACAGGTGAGGATGGGGAGCGTAAATAGAAGGAATCTCTGAGGTGGGGTTGATAGACCAGCAGTGGGCACTGTTCAGGAAAGCCTCGTCGGAGGACAGGCTGGCGACCACCTAGCTGAAGCCAACCTCCCCTGTTTATGTGCTCCACGGAAACAGAATTCTGACCCCCATGTCTTGCTCTTGCTTACACCTGACTGGGCATGACTCAAGCAGGTGCTAGGAGACATCGGAGTGGCTGGCAAAGTCGCTGGTCGCCAGGGTACTGCAAGGCTAGGCTACTGTTCCCGCGGGGTGTTTTCCAGACACCTTTAGGGGTTAGAGCCGCCGCCTCATTATCCAGCTCTCACCTCTTCTTTCTTGCCAGACCATGAGCTGGCAAGGCTTTCTGGGGATTTCTCAGAATCTAGGAGCTGGAAAAAACTATTCCGTTTTCAAGTGAATCTGCAGCTTGTTAGGTTACTCTTCCTCGTGGGGCACTTACAGGCAGGCTTCGGAACAGAGGCGGAGGTCTGCTATTGGGTTTCCTCCCGTATATCTCTAAGTTGCTCCATCCCCCCCCCCCCAAAAAAAAAAAATCTCGAAGAAACAGAGGAGACTGGGGAAGTGGCTAGAAGTGGCTGTCTCGAAATTCCCGGAGGCCACCTTGGCACCAACACCCCGCTGTCTGCATCGCCACACACAGCGAGGTTCCCGCTGTGGGTGGTCGCTGGCTTGCTCCGGCCTTGCACAAGTACCAGCCCCGCCCGCTGCAGTCTGGATTCCACGAGGTCCGCGGCCTTCGGGCCTCGGCCTACCTGTTCCTGCCGCGAGGTGCGGGACCGGCCCACCTCCGCTCCGCCTGTTCTCACTGGGCGAGGATGCATTTTCATGTTGTTTTCGAACACGTGTGCGGTCTAAGTCTACGGGGGTGAGGTACGTTCCCTAGGCTCGAGGGAAAGGCGCTTTTCTAGGCGCGGATACAAAACACGTTCCGAGAACCGAGGAGGAAACTACCCGCTCTTGCTTTGCACGCGGCGTCCGGGAGCGAGGCCCACCTGTGTCGCCCGCACACCTGCTCTCGAGCGAACGAGCTCACGTGTGACCCCGGGTTTCTCAGATGTCCTGCCGGCGCCACGTGCGCCCCCAGGGCCGCCACGCAGGCCCCGCCCCGCACGTACGTGCCCTTAGCCAGCCCGCGGCTGCTGCTGCCCCGCGCGCCCGCGCCCACGGGGGGGCGCTCCTGCCCGCCCCCCGCACTCACGCGGCACCTCCGGGCCGGAGCAAACCTGCACTCGCGACCCGCCGCGCGCCGCCTCCTACCTGAGAGCCCGCGAACAGGGCGCGCAAGAAGGTCGAGGCGGTTGCGGGCAACGCGACCAGGGAGAAGGCTTGGGACGAGCGGCTGCGGTGGACGGTCCGGGCGCGCGCGCGCGCTCCCTCCCTGCTCCCTCCACCGACTCCCGGCCGGAGCCCAGCCCCGCAGCAGCGCGCCGCCCGCCTCGCCGCGCCTAATAACAACGGCGCCCTGGGTCAGGTGGCCGCGCGCGGACCGGGCAGCCATTGGCTCGGCGGGGAGCGCGGTGCGTCGGGATTGGCTGGGAGGCGGGGCCTCGTCGGAGGCGGGGCGGGCCCGCTCAGAGAGGCTGGCTGGGAGGGGCGGGGGCGGGGCCAGGCTTGGTCCGCGCCTTTGTGCCCGGCGCGCGCTCTCTGCCCGCTCCGGCTGCAGCGCCCGCTGCATCAATAATTCAGAGCGGCGGCGGCGGCGGCGGCAGCGGCGAGTGCGGACAGGAGGCGGCGGCAACAGCGGGTACCAGGCAGCAGAGGCTATGCATCCAAGTGCGGCTGGCCGGCCTCGGCACCCCTGAGGCCCGGGCGGGGCTCCGGGTGCACCGCGCGAGGGGACGTTTGTCCTGGAGTCCGAGGGAGAGGCGTAGTGGCCCAGGAGGCGTCGGCGGAGCTGTACACAGAGCTGAGGAGGGGGCTTCGGAGCAGGGCTGGGGAGGGGGGCGGCTGGCTCTGGCAGCCCCCGGGGTGGGGGGCGGGGTGGGCGCCGGCGGCGCGATGCTGGGAGTCGTGGAGCTGCTGCTGTTGGGGGCTGCGTGGCTGGCAGGCCCAGCCCGCGGGCAGAATGAAACAGAGCCCATCGTGCTGGAGGGCAAGTGTCTGGTGGTGTGTGACTCCAACCCCACGTCTGACCCAACGGGCACTGCTCTGGGCATCTCCGTGCGCTCGGGCAGCGCCAAGGTGGCTTTCTCTGCCATCAGGAGCACCAACCATGAGCCGTCCGAGATGAGTAATCGCACCATGATCATCTACTTCGACCAGGTGAGTTCCCCGATCCCTTGCAGCATCCAGAGCGGGTTGGTGAGGGGTGACAGGGAGAGCGTGGAAATCAGATGTGGGATCTTCTCCAAGGGCTCTGCGGAGGCTCGAGGACCACACTCGGACGGACTCCGGTCTACCCCCTTTCGTTCCTGTCTCCTTATAGGTACTAGTGAACATCGGGAACAACTTTGACTCAGAACGGAGCACTTTCATCGCCCCGCGCAAAGGAATCTACAGTTTTAACTTCCACGTGGTGAAAGTCTACAACAGACAGACTATCCAGGTCAGCCGCCACCTGGGGGCTAGGCTCTCAGTAGGGGGTTGCTGGCCGTAGGGGTTTGTCGGAGGCTCTGTGGAAGCGGGAGGCAGCAATCAGCGGCATACGCCCTGGCTGTAGGGGGACAGGTAGCAGGGCCTCAGGGTTCTTTGGCACGCACCGCCCTTTAAGCTGTCCAGGGTTCCTGAGATTCAGTTCTATCTCCAGAGACATTTTTTGGCCTTCACTTTCTGGGCCCTTCTGTAAAGGCTCCTGGTTTCCCTTAGGGACTCCTGGGACTTCCTGTAAGGGTTGTTAGCTCACAGACAGCTAAGGCTTCTGTACGATCTCCTCCACGCCCGCTTTCTAGGCTCAACAATTCGCTGCAGCCCAAAGCCTTTCTGGCAGCTTTTCCGCTTTTCTTCAGCACCGCGGAAGAAATCTCGTTCCCTAATCCTACACCCTTCCTTCGCAGACTTGTTTTTAAACTTGAGTCTGGAAGGGTGGACGGAGAAAAAGGTCGAGGTGGGGATGAAGGAGTAGTGAGTGCTACTTCGAGGTCCAACCGTGTCCAGGCCAGCATCCACCCGCTAGCTAGGTCTCCATGTCCGTGTTAGCTTAGAGCTCCCACAGAGGCAGACAGCGCAACTGGGGACAGGGCGCCTGACCCTAGGCCGACGCCGCTACCGCAAGGGCACAACCAGGCGATGGCGGGCGCAGTAGGATCTGGGGCGGGAACTGAGTGGGTGACTTAGGGACGGAGCTCTAGTGCATTTTCGCAGGTCTCGGAATTCCGGACAGCCTCTCCAGGCCGCTTCTAATCTGCTTCACGCAGCGTCTCCGCTATGCGTCCCCCCCCCCCCACCTCCCCGTGTCCTCGCCACAAACCCTGAGAGAGGCCCAGGATGTGGGTGTTTGTTTTGTAATTCAGGGCGCACGGGGAGCAGAGTTGCCCGGGGCAAGCTGGCGAGAGGCCAAAGGTCTCAGGACACTACGCCTACCTGCGGGTTTATGCCCAGACGTGATTTGCTTGGCGCGCTAGTTTGAGAAGCTGGAGAAAGCCCGACTGCCGCTCAGAGAGGCAGACCCTTCCTCTACCTAGATACGGTGTGGGTCCCCGTTAGAGTCTCCGCAGTGAGCAGCCCAAGCCCCGTTTCGTCCCGCTCGCCTCATGCCCCATCAGTGCCCCCAGGCCTTTGAGGAAGCTAGCCGAGCACCTAGGTTGGCGCTCCCCCGCCGCTTGGGTACCCGCTTAGGTGGCGCTTCTGATGCAGGCCTTTCTCTTTCTCAGGTGAGCCTCATGTTGAATGGGTGGCCGGTGATTTCAGCTTTCGCCGGTGACCAAGACGTGACCCGCGAGGCCGCCAGCAACGGCGTCCTCATCCAGATGGAGAAAGGCGACCGAGCATACCTCAAGCTGGAGCGGGGGAACTTGATGGGGGGCTGGAAGTATTCAACTTTCTCTGGATTCCTCGTGTTCCCCCTCTGACTGGCTCATAACGGGAATGGAGGCAGGAGAAAGGCAGGAGGGGAGTGAGAAAGGCCGAAAATTACCAGGGCGAGGAAGCGGCGCCACCGGAAACTTCCTACGTGTACCTAGCTACAACTGGGCACAAAGGCGCGCGCCGCCCGCGGTCCAACTTCTTCTGCTCCCTTACTAAGAGAAGTAAATTTCGCTTAGCTCTGCACACACTCCCATTTCCAAAAATAAACTCGCCTCCCCCAAGCCAGTCGCAGTAATCGAGGAAGAGACTGCCTTGTCATTGTTCCTTACCCACGTCCATGTCCCCAACAATTAACGAAGTAATGTGAAATGTTTCTCCCTACCCGACCCCCCTGAGCCCTGCCACTTACTGAAACTTAGTATGCCCCCCAGTTTGAAGAGGGGGGGTCAGTTTGTTTTCTGTTTCTGTTTTTGAATGGGGCAGGTAGTTTTTAATATAACAGGTTTTGCTCGTCAAACACTGCGCGAGTTAAGCGGGAGAGACTTGCCCTCAGCTGCTTGTTAGCAGATGAAGGACTCGCCTTCGTGGTGACCGGTTTAACTATACATAAATATGTATATGTATCACTTGTACACGAAGAGCTCTTCCGGGTGGACGCTGGCTGTATTCCGTATTTCTGTCCTGTTCGGAGTGATCGTGAAATCCAAGGCTGCTTGGTGTTTGTTCTCTGATGCTTGTCAATGCTCCGTGTTCTGTGGCTCCGCCAAACGCCAAGGAGGTTCTTCGGGACGCTTCCTCTTCCTCTGTAACATACGTGTGAATAGCCAAAATTTAATTTTGCTTTAATCCAATAAAGTCAAAGTGGGACTTTTATTTTTCTGAAACAGCTTTCTAAACTTCGCATTTTCCGGGTTGCGAGGTTGAGGGCTTGGGCTGCCCAAGATGGGCGGAGAAGAAGGTGACTTGGAAGATGCAACCAGAGAGGCCAGGGCACAAGGGTTTCTTCGCAGAGCCGGTTCTGCGCTTCCTTCCGCAGCAGGCTCCTTCTGCCTTCCCTGTGCACCTTGCTTTGGTAGATCGTGAGAAATCTGACCCAGATTCTGCTAAGCGTGACTGAGGGCCTGGAAGCAGTTCCTTGTCCACCCTCAATTCCAAATGCATCAGGAGTTATTCCCAGGTCTAGGACCCAAACCCGCCTGCCCCGTGTGACAGTGTCCTCACGCCTACTGTCCCTGGATGTCTCCAGCTCTATCCGCTCCGCAGCTCCCGAAGCACCTAATATTTTGTACCAGCGCCTCTGAACTTGAGGTCCACCCGCCAAACAACCCGGGCTCCCAGACCTGCGATTGCGCTCATTCGCAGGACTTTAGAGGGGTTCGTCCAGAAGTTTTGATTGTATCGAAACATAATGTGAAAGCAAAATTGAAATAAACGACTTCGTTTTAAGTCTGGAACACTGACCCTGTGTTGGACGCGGGTGACGCAGCGGCAGAGGCGGGTGGAAGCAGAGAGCCCAGGACCCAGGGGCTTCCGTGGTTCTGAGCTCTCCTCGGGTTTTTTTTCCCCCTTGGACTTAGATTCAGATTCGAGTTTAAGTGCTTGGGGGTGGGGGTGGGGGAAGCGGGGTCAATAACAACGCGGCAGGCTAAATTTCTGATATTTCTGCCTTCTGCTTCCCTGATCGCTTCCCAAACACCGCCGGGCTGGGAACTTCAGTTCTGGTGCTCAACCGCACAGTAGTCTAAGGTGCCTCGGGCAGCAGCGCCCTTCACAGTCTCAAGGGCCCAGGGGATTGTGGGGGACAACAAGGGGCTTCTGAAGTGAAGCGCAATCTTCCATCTCTACAGTTCCTCACCCCGCTTCAGTCCCACCGGAAGAGGGGCCTTACAGGAATTTAGCAGAAAAGCGATTGTCCCCGCCCCCTTTTCTTTTTAGTAAGAGCTTTGTCTTCAGGCTTCAGGCTGGGAGGCACGCAGGTCAAGGACAATGGGAGTCTGCCGGGGAACTACCTTGACCAACAACTCAGCTGTGCAGAGCCTACCCTCAGAAGTGTAGAGGCCAGCGCCACCGCTCCAGGCTTACAGGCTGTGGAGATTAGGTGCCTGCTACACCTGCGAGCTGCTTCCACCCCACCTTGAAGCTCAGGGAGCTTCCAGAATGCAGCCCGTTTCTCTTCCTAAAGACAAAACCATCCCAGTTCTAGCGGCCAGGGCTCTGGTTCTGGGGAACCACCAGGCTGAATTCCACCTGGGTAACTTGGGCAAGCCTCCCTGCCCTCATGTCGCCCTTCTGTATAAAGGCAGGGAGTACTCTAAAAATCTCCAGAGTTCCTCCTTCTCTGGGGACTCAACCATTCTCTGGTTTGGAACCGGGGCCTACAGGTTCCATTGCCTCAGTGAGTGACTGGCACTGTACTAACCCCAGAAGAAGGCAGGGGACTGTGGGTCCAAACTGGGGCCCAGATCAGAGTCTCAGCAAGTGAAGGGGAGAGCCCGTGGACCCAGAGGAAGAAGAGGAAAAATTCTCTCTGATTCTGCTCCAGCTCTGCTTGGTCCCTGGTAAAACTGGGTCCATACTTCTGAGGTTGGCATTCAACCCCATGATTAGCATCTGGTTCCACATCTCCCGCTTCATCTGTCACGCCTCCCCCAGGTCATTTGCCCGTCCATCTCCCCCTCCTTTCTCTGTGAACCTACACGTTCTACCCCAGCCTTGAAGCTATTCTTTCTTTCTTTTGTTTTTCAAAATTCCATTTCACAAAGGATCTAAGTTCCGCTAAAAGATGCCTCTTCTTGGGAGCTGTCCCAGTTACAGAGCAGGTGAAGGTCTCCCTAGGAGGCTTTCTGCCCACTTGCTCTTTGCCCTTCAGGGAGGGCCCAGTGTGGTGCTGGCAGGAAAGGAGCCACTTGGGACTGGCCTTGTCTTCTCTTGTTACTTTGGTTTTACATGGACTGGCCACCCACATTTACCTGAGCAGGGCAGTGAAGACCTCCCCCAGGCTCCTGGTATGTGACAATTGGGCATCTTCTTCTTTGGGGTGAAGATGGTGGCTGATTATTCCCCTGGTCAGAGATGGGTGACCTCACCTATGTCTGAAAATTGGGTCCCAAATGGGGTCATGAGAGACTCTAAGTGACAGGCTGGAGAAGGATGGAGAAGAAAAGCCCTGGAGAGCTGCAGTTCCCTGGGGCCTTCCTTCCTGTCCCACCCAGAAGCTTAGGAGGTGGGTGGGTGGGGCGATTTAGAAACCTCCACCTTACTTTGGTTCCCTTTAAGGCTTTTGAAGCCTCTGATCCCTGGCAGATCTGGGCCATATCTCCTTCTTTCATCTAAAGTCAGTTGCTTCAGATCCCAACCTGTAGGGGTTCCAGGACCACCCCAGACTTTTGCCTCACCCTGGGTCTGAAAAAGCTTCTCCCCCAGATGAGTCTCAGGTCCTCATCAGCCTGGATAGTATCCAGTCCCCCCCCTTCTACACCCCAGGACAGCAGAATTGTCATTTCTCTGTACCCCTCTAAGGAGTGTGGGGGTCTTACCTAGCTCTAGCCCCGCCCCTGCACCTCTGCCTCTCTGAGGGCAGAGGATAAAGCTTATTCTCCGAGGTGGCGGCCTGCAGCAAGAGTATAGGAGTTTGGCGAAGGGAACTCAGGGCAGCTTCACAGAGTGCCTAGAGTCCTGTGGGCCGGTGGTTGGGGCCACCCACCCAAGTTCCCTGGAGCCACCAGTAGCTTGCCCGCACTGGAGGAGCACAGGGGCCTGCGCCTGAGCGTGAGCAGCGTGCTGCGGTGGATGATTCCTAATGAGAACATAATTACCCAGGTGGAGGGAGAGCCTCACCCGTCTCTAATTGTCCTCTTAATGGGGTGGGAGAGGGGAGGGGCAGGCTCTGGCGTGCTGAGGACTCGGACTAGGGTCCTGGGGCCCAGGACCTAAGGGAAGGCCCCTCTCTCTCTGACTGTGGTGATTTTACCCTCTCCTTAGCAGCATTTTGAGCCTTGCTTTTCTCAACTACAGACGGCTAAGGATGGGTTACAGTTTTTGGTGCTTGGTCTAACTCTTTTAAAATGTTAATCTGTGTAAGCCAAGGCTTCCCAGCACTCAGCCAGTTCCCTCTCACCGGGCACTTGCGCAGGCCCGCCACAGTCCCATCAAATAGGGAAGCCCAGGAAGGACCAGGTGAGGCCAGGGGAAGCACCCAGGTGCACCAGCCCTCCTGTCTTTGGACTAATATGGAGTGTGTGTGTGTGTGTGTGGGGGGGTGTAAGGTGGGGGGAGGAGGGAAATGGATTTCCCAGAGATCATTACAAAGTCTCTCCGAGTTCTTTCACAGGGTTCATCACAGAGCACAACTCTCTCTTGAGCCTCAGTTCCTCATATTCAAATGGAGAAAATAGTGTTTTCACTACATCCATCCCCAGCTGGTGTACAGTAGATGCTAAATAGATGACAGCGACAATAAAGAGTATTAGACACCTGCCCTGGCGTGCCACACCGTCACAGAGGTGGGGCATAAGTGAACGCCTAGGAGAAGTTCCATTTTGGTCAGACTGGAAATCTGAAACCAGGTTAAAGAAGAGCACACGGAGAGTGCAGGGCATTGTGGGTTCAGGACCGGATCCTCTGGGTTTCCTCCCCCAACACAGGTCCCCATGTCAGGATCCAGCCCCCTTGACATTCTTCTTCATTTCTGCTGCTTATACATCTGCATTTTTCAATGCTGCTGAATATTTCTGTCTGCAGGCCTGTGCTCTCTTTATCAGACCCTGAACGCTGTTCCCTGCTGGCATGTCTGTATGTCTTTGTAGGTGATTCCTTCCAAAGTTGTGTCTTCCTTATGCTCTCCTTCCTTGGCTCTGTGTGCATACCACAGCACCCGGTGTAGGGCCAGTGTCCTGTGATGATGTCATGATCTAGAACAAATTGTGCCTGGCACAACTGCAGAGTATGAGCACCCATCAAATGTTCTTTGGAGGATTTCCTGGAGCCCCTCAGTCCCCCCTCCCTAATCCAGCACCCCCTAGTTCCCCAGCAGGAGCACCGATATGGAAATACCCCTCTTGTCTCATGTTCTGACCCCCTCATTCACTCTCTCCATTCACTAGAGGACGGGTCTATCACCAGGAAGTCCCAGTTGTGATTCTAGGATGGCAACAAGCAGGGGCAATAAGGAGGAGGCTTAGAAATGCTGTGTGGGACGATGCTCAGATCTGCTAGGTCTTGTCTCTGAGACGGTCCTTTGTTGTGCATAAATGTGACTGCCTGTGAAGTTGTGTGCACACATTCCAGAGCCCAAGTATGTCATCGTTCTGCACACCAGTGACAGGTGTGCAGTAAGGGACAGGAGACACTTTCCTTGATGCGATCAGGTTCCCACCTGACCTCTATGACTCTGTCTTGGTTCTACAAAGCTTTCCCTAACTGTGATCCAGCACCTACCCCTGACTCCCCATCTGACCTCTTAGGTTATACCTACCCACAGCAATACACAAGCAAAGCATCTCTTGATGAACAGATGAACAGGTATAGATACTCCAGTTATGGGGCTCCTGGGATTAGAGACTCAGCATTAGGCATCACCCAAAGTCTTCCCTGTCCCTCTGGACAGCCCCATTTGTGTTAGGATGGAATTGCATTGTATCTGTAGTTGACCTAATTTGTCTTCCCCTGCTGCTTGCCCAAATCATGCCCAACTTGCTGTGGGCACCATAGTGGACAGGGGATAGGTTTTATTTTTCTTAAAGGACGAGAACAACATTGTCTTCCCTCCAGCATAAGACACCATGAATCAGGACCAGGAAGATGGCTCACCAGCAAATGTGCTTGCCACATGCGCATGCTGACCTGAGTTCAGTTCCTGGACCCTACAGGAGAAG